TTTATTTCCTCTATATTTTGAAAATTAGTTGTTTTATATTTGGTTTTTATTTTATTATCCTTAATTTCTATACTAAACTACTGGGTTTTATACCAGATTAAAAATACATTTATTATTTTTCAAATAAATAATAAAAACGGAATTCATACGGGTAATAATTGATTTAGATATGTTATTTGGTTGGCTTAAGGCCTTAAGTTATATTGCTAGCAAATGGCAGCCTCCAAGGCTGCTTTTTTCTTTTCTTTCATTTTTTTCTTCTTCTTTTGCAATTTTTAGTTTTGGGAATTCTTCTTAGTATATTTGCCTACAAAGCTTTGGAAATTTGGTGCTTCAATTATATTGTGTTGATGCACTATAGACATAAGAAATGAAAATATTAGATGGAATTCAGTACATAATGTGTTGTCTTGACATGCTTTCTATCACTTATGTTTGCCTTTTGGGTTTAAAATTTTGCTGGCGATAAGTTCAAATTGGACTGCTGCGCCAATTGGTCTATTCTTCAAGCAGAAGGTTTTTCTTTTTCTTTTTCTTTTTTTTTTGTTTCCTGTATTTCCCGATCTATCTCTGAATTTGGAGCTAAAGCATTGTCCTTTTTAACTTAAAATTTCTCAAATAAACTACATTGTACTATTTCTGAACAGCAAGATTCAACGCCGTCCTTGTAAACTATATATATTTAAAGAAAAAAAGCAGCAAAAGTGGAGAAGGTGTTGGTGGACTCATTTAACCTGTCTCATTTTGTTGAGGAACCTAAGTTGAAGTTTTGTAATTGCTTTAAAGAAAAAAAAAAAGATTTTTATTTTACAATATAAAAGTGACTATAAACCAAGGACTTCAGACATTTCTTAGATGCCTAATTCTTTTATGTGAACAGTTAACTATGAGCAACCAAAGGAAAATTCAAGATTCAGGAAAGCTAGATATATGGTTTGGTGTTTGTGCAACTGTTTGGTTCATTTGGTTGTGAAGAAATCAAGGATTTATTTATCAGGCGTTTGAACATGAGCATAAAAAAAAATTTGTGCAACTGTTTGGTCCATATGCTCAAGTTTTCAAATTAGATCAAAGCTTTGTGTTTACTTATGCATAATAGTTTCACAAGGAACCAAGCATCTTCAAAACTATCTGCATGTATCCTCAACTTAGCGAGAAATTCCATTCTCTGTAGTTCAATAAGTTAATAGGTGAGAATATAACTAAACAACACCTCAATAATTGTAGCCTAGTAGAGTAATTGACCCCTTTAGAACTCAAGAATATTAGATGGTATTAATAAAACATATAAGAAAGGTGGTGTTTGTTGCAGAATAAGCCCAACATTGGTGAAAGCCCAAAGAGCCCATATAAAGTCCAAAGGCATAGAAAGACAACCATGATACACCCATATAAAGTCATAAATAAGGGCTATATAAATACTCCTCATCTACCAGCATGCAAGGTAATTACTCCACTACACTTCTCTTTTTGTAAGATTTAGTTTTCGAGAGCTTCTCTCTCTAGAATATTGAATATTACTAACTTGAGTGTTGAAGTGTTTGCCTTTAGGATATTCCTTAGGTTTTTCAGGTATGGAAACAGTTCAAGAACTCAATAGTATGTGGCCTTGTGAAGCTGTCCAAATAATGTTTTACACATGAAATCTCGATATGCAACCCAATGCAGCCCACTGCAAACAAGCACAGCTCATGAAGTGTTATACATATTGTTATGGATGCAAGTAAATAACATTGGACTTGTTTGAGGGCTTGTCCAAGTATTGTTTTTCAAGCTATAAACTTAAGCATATTTAGATGGTATCAACAAAAAATATAAGAAAGGTGGTGTTTGTTAAGGAATAAGCTCAACATTGGTAAAAGCCCAAAGAGCGCATATAAAGCCCAAAGGCATAGAAAAACAATCATGATACATCCACATGACTAGTGACATGTGGACCAATAAAGTGATGACACATGGTATGGTTGTCATAAATGAAAGTTATAAATACCCTTC